GCTATATAAATAAAATGTAATGTCCGTTTGTTGGATTAACATAACTCAAAAACCACTGGACAAATTGACACCAAATTTGGACACAATACACCAATCATAGAATCATAGAATCAAAGAGTTGGAAGAGACCTCATGGGCCATCCAGTCCAACCCCATTCTGCCAAGAAGCAGGAATGTTGCATTCAAATCACCCCTGACAGATGGCCATCCAGCCTCTGTTTAAAAGCTTCCAAAGAAGGAGCCTCCACCACACTCCGGGACAGAGAGTTCCACTGCTGAATGGCTCTCACAGTCAGGAAGTTCTTCCTCGTGTTCAGATGGAATCAGGCCAATGAGTGACCATCACTCATAAAAAAAACCTGAAAAACACAGCAGAAGGGACTTTAAAAGCGAAAATTTTAAAAAATACATTACAATGCATGCGCAAAACCACATATATATATGGAAACACAGATATATACACACATATGTACATATATACACACACAAAATACATACATAGACTGGGCCACAACAACGCATGGCAGGGGTCAGCTAGTATACTATATATACATTATATTGTGTGTGTATATATATATATGTGTGTGTGTGTGTGTATGTGTGTATATGTATGTGTGTGTGTGTGTGTGTATATATATATTTCAGTATTTCTCAACCTTCCTAATGCCACAATCCCTTGATACAGTTCTTCCTGTTGTGGTGACCCATAACCATAACATTATTTTTGTTGCTACTTCATAACTCTAATTTTGCTACTGTGATGAATCATAATGTAAATATCTGTTAGGCAGGATGTATTTTCATTCACTGGACCAAATTTGGCACAAATACCCAATACGTTTAATAATTGAATAATGGTGAGGTTAGCAGGGGATTGATTTTGTCATTTGGGAGTTGTAGCTGCTGGGATTTATAGTTCACCTACAATCAAAGAGCATTCTGAACTCAACCAATGATGGAATTGAAGCAAACTTGGCACACAGGACTCCCACGACCAACAGAAAATGCTGGAAGAGATTGGTGGGCATTGACCTTGAGTTTGGGAGTTGTAGTTCACCTACCTCCAGAGAGCACTGTCGAATCAAACAATGATGGATCTAGACCAAACTTCACCAGTGTTGAAGTCCACCAATGATAGAATTGGGCCAAACCTCTCACACAGAACCCCATGACCAACAGAAAAGACTGAGTTTTCTGATGGTCAGGGGCGGCTCAACCCATTACGCAAAGTAAGCTTTTGCAGTATAGTTGATTTTGCCCAGAGGCGCTCTTGAGGCGCTCTTGGGGCAAAATAGACCTTGACATATGCGAGTGGTAGTTACTGAGATGTATAGTTCATCTACAGTCAAAGAACATTCTGAACTCCACCAATGATGGAATTGAACCAAATATGGCACACAGAACTCCCACGATGAACAGAAAATATATATCAGTGATTGGTTGGGGGGGGGGGGGAGCCAAAATACTGTTTGCTTACCATTGAAAATTACCTAGGGCCACCTCTGCTGATGGTCTTTGGAAGCCCCCCTGACACCCGCTTGCGAATCCCCAAGGGTCCCAATTCCCAGGTTGAGAAATGCTACTTTAAATGCAGCATTGGTGTGCCCTCTGGCTGCAGAATGAATTACAACTCCCACCATGGTGGGTGAGTCAGTCCTATCAAGTCCCTCCTGTAGGCTGTTAGGAATTATGGGAGTTGAAGTCCAAAACACCTGGAGAGCCCAAGTTTGTCCATGCCTGGTCTATAATGACCATATAACGCACTTTCACATTGTATTATATGGCAATTCAAGGTGCATCTACACTGTAGAATTGATCCAGTTTCACAACACTTCCACTTTCATGCCTCAAGGCTATGGAAACCTGGGAGTTGTAGTTTTGCAAGGTCTTTGGCGTCCTCTGCCAAAGACTTCTAGTGCCTCACCAAACTAATAACTCAGATGTTTGTCTTTCCTTTATATCTTTTTTTCACACGTTTAATACCAGCCTGAAGGGAACCCACCTTGAAAATTCCCCGTAGCCCGAACCCATCAGATGCAGAAGTTTTTGATGATTAGAACAAGAAAGACAAATCCATCTGGGAGACATTGTTCTCTTGGGTACCTTCTGGCCCCGTGTTGTGTGATCGGATGGGAGACGTGTTTGCACAATAGTCTGGAAACTACGCCTTGAAATTTCCCCTTTGTATATATATATTTACCCAAATGTATTAATAGTCCAAGGTTCCACATCTCAAGTACATATTGACCTTTTTAAAAATATATATATGAGTAATAATAGCACTGTGCAGCAGCAGGCATTTATCCAGAGCTTGCAATGACATGTCAAGCTAACATATATCACTCACAAATTGAGATATTACGGCTCTTTTTTCCAGGTCAAGGGATAAGATCTGCATCGCAGTTACGACTGAGTCATGATTTTGGTCGGACTCAATTAGAATCACAGTTGGAAGGCACCACAAGGGCCATCCAGTCCAACCCCATCCTGCCATGCAGGAGGACACAATCCAACCACCCACAGCAGATGGCCATCCAGCCTCTGTGTAAAGACCTCCAGAGAAGGAGACTCCACCAAACTCCCAGGCAGCACATTCCAATGTCAAACAGCTCTTACCATTAGGAAAATTCCTCCTAATGTTTACGTGGAAACTCTTTTCCTGACATTTGAATCCAATACTCCATGGTGTCCTAGTCTCCAGAGTAGAAGAGAACAAGTCCCCTTCTCAATGGGGCCTCCTTTCAAATATTTCAACATGGCTCTCATGTCCTCTTCTCTCAGGCTATTGTGTCCAATTCTGGGCACCACAATTCAAGAGAGACATTGACAAGCTGGAATGTGTCGAGAGGAGGGCGACTAAAATGATCAAAGGTCTGGAGAACAAGCCCTATGAGGAGCAGCTTAAGGAGCTGGGCATGTCTAGCCTGAAGAAGAGAAGGCTGAGAGGAGATATGGTAGCCTTGTATAAATATGTGAGAGGAAGCCACAGGGAGGAGGGAGCAAGCTTGTTTTCTGCTTCCTTGGAGACTAGGACGCGGAACAATGGCTTCAAACTACAAGAGAGGAGATTCCATCTGAACATGAGGAAGAACTTCCTGACTGTGAGAGCCGTTCAGCAGTGGAACTCTCTGTCCCTGAGTGTGGTGGAGGCTCCTTCTTTGGAAGCTTTTAAACAGGGGCTGGATGGCCATCTGTCAGCGGTGATTTGAATGCAATATTCCTGCTTCTTGGCAGGGGGATGGACTGGATGGCCCATGAGGTCTCTTCCAACTCTTTGATTCTATGATTCTATGATTCTCTTCTACAAACTGAACAAAACAGGTGCGATAATCTGCTCCTCATAAAGCTGGGTTTCCAAACCTTTGACTATTTTGGTCGTCCTTCTTTGGACATGTTCTAACTTGTTGATATCCTTCTGAACATAGGACTGTTCTGGTCAAAGCAGTATAGAGTGGGATTAATATTAATATCTAAATCAGCATTTCTCAACTTGGGGGTCAGGATCACTGGGGTTGTGAGAACGTTTCAGAGGAGCATTTCAGAGGAGTCTCCAAAGACCATCAGGAACCCATTTGGCAGAGAAGGCTGAAGAACTCCCCGCCTGTCCTTCTCTTCCTTTTTGGAAACAGATGGTGAATCCTCCCACCAAAAGCCCTCCTCCTGATGTGATTGGCCTCTCAGCCAAGGGGAGGGCTGTTTCTGAGACTTCAAGCAGGGAGGGGACAACAGACATGCTTGGTGCATGGCAGCATGGTGTGCATGTGAGGACAAGGGAGAGCATGTGAGGTTGAGTCCCTTCAAGATACTGGGGTTCTGTGTGGGAAGTTTGGCCCAATTTTATCATTGGTGGGGTTCAGAATGCTCTTTAATTATAGGTGAGCTATAAATCCCAGCAACTACAACTCCCAAAGGTCAAGGTCTGTTTTCCTCAAACCCCACCAGTGTTCACATTTGGGCATAGTCAGTATCCGTGCCAAGTTTGATCCAGATCCATCATTGTTTGAGAACACAGTACTCTCAGGATATAGGTGAACTACAGCTCCAAACCTCAAGGTCAATGCGCACCAAACCCTTCCGATATTTTCTGTTGGTCATGGGAGTTCTGTGTGCCAGGTTTGGTTCAATTTCATCATTGGTGGGGTTCAGAATGCTCTTTGATTGTAGGTGAACTATAAATCCCAGCAGCTACAACTCCCAAATGACAAAATGAATCTTTCCCCCAAGCCCACCAGTATTCAAATTTGGGTGTAGTGAATGAAAATGCATCCTGCATATCAGATATTTGCGTTATGATTCATAATAGTAGCAAAATTACAGTTCTGAAGTAGCAATGAAAATAGTGTTATGGTTGGGAGTCACCACTACATGAGGAACTGTATTTAGGCGTCATGGCATTAGGACGGTTAAGAAATACTGATCTAGATACTAGATCCTATGGATGCAGCCTATAATTACATTGGCTTTTTTTTAGCTGCTGCATCACACTGTTGTTTCACATTCAGATTGTGGTCTTCCAGCAATCCCTCTCAATTTGGTGTCATCCATGGCACAGTTGGTTGGCAGTCCTGCCCTATGCCAGCAGGACTGAAGACCGACAGGTTGCAGGTTCGACTCTGGGGAGAGCACGGATGAGCTCTCTCTCTCAGCTCCAGCTCTCCATGTGGGTACATAAGAGAAGCCTCCCACAAGGATGGTAACACATCAGAACATCCGGGCATCCCCTGGACAACATCCTTGCTGACAGCCAATTCTCTCACACCAGAAGCGACTTGCAGTTTCTCAAGTGGCTCCTGACACAACAAACAAAAATCTGCAAAGTTGATAAGCATGCCTTCTATGATTTGTGGCAGATCATCATAGTGTGTTGTATGTTTTCTGTTCATGTTGTTAGTTGGGCGTAGGATTTTCAAGGGGAGCTTTTCTGGTTTGAAGTAACAGCATAATACCAATGGAAGACATGACAAACCTTTTTTCCCTTGTTCTCTTTGGGCTTTTTATAGGTGTCAGGAATGTCCTCTGATTGCTCCATCCTATTAAAGCTTGCAGCTCTACGGGAGGAATGCTTCGCACGCCTCAACTCCGAGAATGAAACTTTTGGTAAGTAAACCAAAAGCAGATTGCCTTTGAACTTTATCACACAAAACTTACTGTTCTTCTACAGGAGTATCATTGTAGATAATGGATAGAGTTTGGGACTTTTGATATTTTCCCATCTTGTCAATAGCGCAATGGCATCGACTTGCCATTCAATCGTCCTGTAATTAGACTTCTGCACTCTCTCTCAACTTTGCCTTCTTGCATCACCATCAACATCATGATTGCAATTGTGCAATTTCAGCATTAAAAAAAATACAAATACAAATATAAAGGAAAGCAGGTAGCTTGCGAATAGCGAGAGAGATGGAGGAGAGGAGGAGAACTCCACTTTAGAGTTGTAGTTTGAGAATTATAGTTTGGTGAAGCACCAGCACTCTTTGAAAGAGAAGACTAAAACTGTTAACTCCATCACACTGAACCATGGCAGTGAAATTGGTGTCAAACCATATTCATTCTACAGTATAGTTGCACTTCAAAATCTATCTGCTGGGTGATAGAAGCCAAAATTACCACGACTGCCACCATCCTTTCATTATTTCATATTTTCTGGATGCATCTACACTGTAGAATTGATACAGTTCTATGCCACTGTAACTACCATGGCTCAATGCTATAGAAATGTGAGGGTCGTAGGTTTAAAAAGCCTTTAGCATTCTCTACTAAAGACTGCTGGTGCCTAAGGAAACTACAACTCCCATGATTCCATAGGATAAAGCCATGGCATTTAAATTAGTGCCAAACTGCATTCATTCCACTTTGTAGATGCATCCCTGGAGACCAGAAACATTTCTGCAATAGATGGATAATCCTTTATACAGTGATGGTTCTATGTTATTCATCTAAGATACCTTAACTGAAATCTCAGGTTGAAAACTGCATTAAATAGTCAGCATGGGCCAATATAATGGAATTCAACAGCATTGAAGTGCATTATATGAGTCTACACATTTACCATATAATGCATTGTCAAAATTACATTATATGGCCATGTAGATCGGGCCTCCGGTTTCCTGGGGAGTTATAGCTTCCTGCCCCTTCTAGTAGATGACGGAATGGAGAGAGTCCTACGTCATGCAAAGGTTTGTCCTTCTTCACAGAAACCACAGAGACTCGAACATTTCTATTTGCTCTCCTTTATTCGCAGTGATATATATACACAGTGAACAAATGTCAGGAGGCTGACCCCATCTTCTGAGCTGTCTTGTCAACTAATCAAAGGAGATGATGTCTCTCTCAAACTGCTTTCTTTTTTCTATCAATCGACCTCCCCTTTCCATACTGAAGATCTGTAGAATTAACTTAGTTTGGCACCACTTGAACTGCTATAACCCAATGCAGTGCAATCCTTGGAGTTGCAGTTTTACAGCATCTTTCACCTTCTTTGCATTGAGGGATGGTGCTTCTCTGAATGACAAGTCCCATGGTTCCCCAGCATGGAGCCATGGCAGTTCAAGTGGTGCAAACTGCATTAATTCTGCAGTGTAGATGCATTCTGAATCATAGGTCTTGGGTTACACAAGGAATAAGTCAGGGTGGTGAATCAAAGTCTGTGGGCTGGATGTAATTCTCAGGGGCCTAAGTTATGATCCCTAAAGCTCCCAAACCCAACCCTAGCATATGGTGGTGACCCAAATGGGTCAAGACCATTGGAAAACATTGTTGTTTACCCATATATTTATTTATTTATTTACTTACTTACTTACTTTGCTTATATACCGCTGTATCTCAAGCCCGAAGGCGACTCACAGCGGTTCACAAACAGCAAAAACAGTAAAAACAGCAGTAGTTCCATACAACATATAACAATTGACTTAACACATTATCCACTAATAACCAATAAGCAATTACAATGCACAATTATTACAAAAAAAMMGTACCCAATCGTCYCATCATCCAAGCATAGTCCACGTTCGTCGTCCATTGTTCCATTCYTAWGKTYAGTTACCAGATTGCACTAGATTACTCAAAYRCCTGCAYAAACATCCAGGTCTTCAACTTTCTTCGGAAYGCCATGAGAGATGGTGCCAGCCTAATGTCTGTAGGAAGGGCRTTCCACAGCCGWGGARCCACCACCGAGAAGGCCCTATCTCTCGTCYCCGCCAACCGTGCTTGGGAGGCCGGCGGGATCGAGAGCAGGGCCTCCCCGGAAGATCTCAAAGTCCTGGTGGGTTCATAGGCCGAGATGCGGTCGGATAGGTATCATACATAAAACAATACTGCACCACGTTTATTTTCTGGTTTTGTATGTAAGATGCTTGGCTATTTATTATGTGCCCCAGATGATGGGCCTTACAATGCAATCAACCATGCTTGTACTTGATTATACAAACCTTTTTGCAAAAACTGTGTATCAAGAAAAAAAACTATGTTAAAATAATTGCTGGTATCTGTAAAGTAGATGTGATAGATGGGGAATACTGCTTACTCTCATTAGCTTGGATTTATTTCAACTCTATGCGTACCTTTGAGTCTTATTTGAGAGAGGAAAATGGGGCAGCAACAACAACAATAATAAGGCAATAATTATCTCCTTCTCCATCTCCTTCTCAACCTCCATCTCCTTTTCTGTCTTCTTCTCCATCTCCTTCTCATTCTCCAACTCCATCTCCTTCTCCAACTCCAACTCCAACTCCTCTCCTTCTCCTTCTCCTTCTCCATCTGTCTCCTTCTTCTCCAACTCCTTCTCCTTCTCCATCTCCATCTCCTTCTCCAACTCCATCTCTTTCTCCTTCTCCTTTTCCCTCTCTTTCTCCTTCTTATTTTCCTTCAAATGCCACCTGTCCTGTTGGCTTAATAAATATGAGAACCTAAGGCTACAATTTCCCATCTTTGCAGCAACCCATCCACTTGATGCATTAATGAATGTTTTAGTATACAAGATGCTTGTGTATGTCACCAGAATGGTATATAAATGACATGCATTATCTAAAGAGACTGGTTAGAAGCGAAGGGCATAAGAATCATGTCGTTGATCACCCAGAAGACTCACCATTTGCTCCATGAGTAGGTGAAAGATGACATTCGAAGGAATGAGATCACATTTCCTGAGCAGTTCTAAGACATTGTGACTTGCTGTTGGGAACCATTGTCACTTGCATGCTCCTAGCAATGGGAAACATGTACGACGGACATAAGAAATTAATAAGCCAGAGCAATGTAACGAAAGGGAAACATATGCTTGGGGAAAATGCGCTATTCTTTTGCCAGGAATGGGCTGCGCAAAGATATAGTGCTGCCAAGGTCATTCTCTATAGCACAGCAGTCTTGTTTGTCGGAAATTATTGGCATGGCCTTTGTTTTCATGCTGAGATCTCTTGTCTGTTGAATCTGTGGATACAGAATCCACCATATAAAGAGAAGGAGAAAGCAAATAATGCCAGTTTCACCAAGTCTGAATCTATCAGTTTGGACACCATGGAGCTCCCAGTGGCGCAGTGGGTTAAACCCCTGTGCCGGCAGGACTGAAGACCGACAGGTCACAGGTTCAAATCCGGGGAGAGGCGGATGAGCTCCCTCTATCAGCTCCAGCTCCTCATGTGGGGACATGAGAGAAGCCTCCCACAAGGATGATAAAACATCAAATCATCCGGCATCCCCTGGGCAACGTGCTTGCAGATGACCAATTCTCTCACACCAGAAGCGACTTGCAGTTTCTCAGGTCGCACCTGACACGACCAAAAAAAAAGTTTGGACACCGAAACAACAATCATATGTGAAGTGGAGATGGGTGAAAGAAAACACTCAGCCTTGCATTCAAATCAAATCAAATCACAAATCTTTATTACGGTCATAGACCAGCATAAGGAGAGTAGGGTACAGCCTCATAAGAGCGTGGTACATTAAAATCTAAAAGGCTAGAAACAGAGGTATGTTGATGGCTAACACATAAAAACTATTTAGAGAACGGAGGGAACTGGAAAGGGTTGGAGAGGGAGGGAGATTGATGGAGGGGTAGGAGCATTCAGGGCACAAGTCTAGGGGACTGGGGAGGGAGCACTGATTCATGTTTCATTTAGCTGAGAGTTAGATTGCTAACTCTCAGCTAACGGAAGCAGATAGTGTTCGAAGACGGGGGCATTTGTAGGGAGACTAAGGTGCTTGTTTATAAAGCCATTGTCCTCCCAGCTCTGCTAAACGCCTGCAAAACGTGGACTGTCTACAGACGTCACACTCAACTCCTGGAATGATTCCATTAGTGCTACCTCCAAAAATTCCTGCAAATCTCTTGGGAAGATTGGTGGACAAATGCCAGTGTGCTGGAAGAAGCAAAGACCACCAGCATTGAAGTGATGCTCCTCCACCATCAACTCCGCTGGACCGGCCACGTTGTCCGGATTCCTGATCACCATCTCCCGTAGTAGTTACTCTACTCCGAACTCAAGAAAGGAAAATGGAATGTATTGCCGAAGGCTTTCATGGCTGGAATCACTGGGTTGTTGTAGGTTTTTTCGGGCTATATGGCCATGTTCTAGAAGCATTTTCTCCTGACATTTCCCCTGCATCCCCTGCAACAGACCTCACTACCTCTGAGACCTCACTACCTCAAAGGTACTGACGTCTGTTGGAACTAGGAAAATTGGGTTTATATATCTGTGGAATGTCCAGGGTGGGAAAAAGAACTCTTATCTGTTGGAGCTAGATGTGAATGTTTCAATTGACCACCTTGGTTAGCATTTGATGGCCTGCCAGTTTTTTGGTGTGGCTTGTTAGTGCCTGGGGGAATCTTTTGTTGGGAAGTGATTAGCTGTCAGTGATTGTTTCCTCCCTGGAGTTTCCCTGTGTTTGAGTGTTGTTTTGCTGTTATAATTTTGGAGTTTTTCAATACTGGTAGCCAGATTTTGTTCATTTTCATGATTTTCTTCTTTCTGTTGAAATTGTCCATGTGCTTATGGATTTCAATGGCTTCTCCCCTTTCATGAAACCTGCCTACAGTCTCAGAATGGCATTGGAGGCACATTTTGGTACTTGCAGGGCCAATCTCAGAAATGTTGATTGTACAA